CTCTCAGAAGTTGATTCTCTTCCTTCCTTCCTTCCTTCCTTCCTTCCTTCCTTCCTTCCTTCCTTCCTTCCTTCCTTCCTTCCTTCCTTTCTTTCTTTCTTTCTTTCTTTCTTTCTTTGTTTTTGTTTTTTTGAGACAGAGTTTCTCTGTGTAGTTTTGGTGCCTGTCCTAGATCTCGCTCTGTAGACCAGGCTGGCCTTAAACTCACAGAGATTCACTTGGCTCTGCCTCCCAAGTGCTGGGATTAAAGGCGTGCGCCACCACCGCCCGGCTGATTTTCTTTTATCATATGGGTCCTGGGGCTCAAACTCAGGTTGTCAGGCTTGGTAACAAGCACATTTACCCACAAAGCAACCTTACTGACTGTATTATTAATATCATTATTACACAAACTAGCCCATTTATTGTTAGATGTCTCAAAGAGTAATGCTGCTTTTGGTTCCCTCTGTCCTCTGATGGCTGACTTGACTCTGACAGCTGAGTGGTGTTGTAGGTCCAGGCCCTGCCTGTCATTGTTTTCCCCCAGCTCCAGGTGCCTGTGGCCCATCTCTTCATCTTGGTTTGGTTGCAGAAGGAACATGTGTACTTGGTGTGCTGCCTGATTTCATTTTTTTCACCCTTTTCTAGAGGGAGGCACCATAGCTGGCCCCTCATTTACCGACAATTGTGACCTTCTTGGTGCATTAAGCCTTGCCATCGTGATCTAGGGCTGATCCTCCTTTTAAATAAAGGTCTATACCCGAGGACATTCTGGTCCTAAGAGGGCTGAGGCTGGAGTTCACTGCGCAGATGGGGTGTGTTGTCAGGCTCCTGCATGGGCTGCTGCCGCCCTGTGCTGCTCTATGAAGAGATAGAAAGAGACAGACCATCTAACGCTGCAAGCAGAAAAAGCATTCACCTCACTCCCAGCGTAAAGCACAGGCTTGCATGCGGCTCATGCTCCCCACCCGCCCCTCCCTCTGGGCCTTTGATGTATCCCTCCAGGTAGCCCTGGCCACTCCTCCTTTCTTCTGACTCCTCCCGTGGCACCTGCCTTTTAGGAATAATTTCTTTCTGGCAGTCTTTCCTTTTTCAGTGCCAGGGACAGGCGTTTGAGGTGCAGCTGGTCATTCCATGCCAGACATCGAATCACCTGCCTGATTCCGGGTCTCATTCTCTGATAGCTGGATGAGTGATGACTATTCCCAGCATAGTGCAGAGATGTGCATGCTAAGCGGCTCCCCTCAGCCACAGCCATTCTGATGCATTGTTTATGTTATTGAGTTATAAAAGCCACATTGGTATAGACAGAAATCTAGATTCATAAACAGATGTCACCTTGGACACCAGGGAAGCTGGATGCAGGAGTCGGAAGAATCCCATGGAGTCTTAGCTGCCTGTTAAGACTGGAAGGTGGCTTAGACACGTGGCATGGACGTCATGCCATCTGAAGACATAGCCTCTAAAACATGTATACTTCTTCAAATGAACAACCAACCAGCAAACTATCCACCACCAAAACAAAAATAGCAAACCATCAAATCATAAATTATAAAGAGAGATCATACTCGTTCTATAGGGTAGGAGACTGTGGAGGATTTTTCAAGTCTCTAACGTCATTCTTGTGACAACCCTTTGCTATGGGGCTTATAGTTTAGAAATTTTCTAAATGAAAACACAGAGACTTCTAAAGGAAATCTCTGCATGTGGTTACACCGAGTCCAGTGTGTATTCTGTGGCTGGTGATAGATGGCAATGTACCAGGGCCCTGGACGGGAAACTCTCTTTCTGTGCACACCCGCTGCCCACTGCTCACCTGTAGCCTGGAGGAGGGTGGGATAGGGAGACCAGTTTCGGGACATGTCTCACACCCTACCCGGTGGGGTTTGCATCTTGCTGTAGTGTTGATGGGAAAGTCACTTCGCTGGTATGCCTCAGTTTCCACATCTGTAGCAAAGGACATGAAAGCAGCTCTTCCCTGATGAGGCTGCAATGAACTTGGTGAGCTGATCCATTACTATGCACTTCTT